CTTGACAGCTAAAGAAATCTCCCTAAAAAACCCATAAGGGGAAAGAGAAAATAAAATAGTAACTATTAACTTCTCTGGAAGATGCTCTTGGGGCAAAAGTAATAGGGGAACTTTGGGCAGGGTGAAGGCCTGGACTTGCTGTCTGGAAGGATGATGGGTGAGGGGATGGTTAGAGGTGGAACAAAAATATAGAAAAAGATAAAGAGAGGTAGAACTAAATGAGAAACTTGGAAGGCAAAAGCTATTACTTTTATCTCAGTTGTCAGTGTCTCCTAGAATAGTATTAGATCTTAATGAGTATATATCAAAAATTTATTGAATGAAATGATTGAATTACCCAGTACATTTCTAATTTTGCTGTCCGGTAGTGATGGTCACTAGACTCAAGCCCCTATTTTATTCATGTCAGAAATTACAGTTTTTAAGGTTCAGAAAATGATCCTGAATTATAGAAAAAAAATGTTTCATGTCACATGCTTGAGGAGGTTACGAGATAAACATTTATTTAATAAATATATTGAAACTACCCACTATTCTTTGGATACTATGTAGGAATGGAAAAATGGGATATTCGGAGTATGTATTTTCTCTTCCTTCTCCTGCCTTCTCCTCTTCTCTGTACTGGAGATTGAACCCAGGGCCTTCCCAATGGGTTACATTCCAGCCCTTTTTGTTATTTTTTTAAATGTTGAGATGGTGTCACACTGTTATTTTGCTCAAGTTGGGCTGAAACTTGCAATCCTTGTACCTCATTCTTCCATTGTGCTGGGATTGGTATATGTTTCTATGTAGTGCAATATTATGGAATCATTTAGTATAATTATGAAGATTATAATAAGTTGGAGAATGCTAATTAAATGCTCAATTCAGATACTTACATCCCGTGATTGTAGCCACATACAGGTATTAGGATATTGTCTGTTCTCAAGGAATACCAAGGAAATTGGTGAAATATAAACTTGAATTATTATAAATGAAAATTATTGAATAATAAATTATTGTAAATGTTGATTTTTTTGGCTACTCTTTACAAATCATAATTTAAATGAAAATCCACAAATTTGTTTTGAAAAATATGATGACCAGCTAGTGGACTAGGAAGAGGAAATACTGTGTACTGAAAGAGGAAGCACTATGTATAGTAAAAGAAGAAAAGAACAGAACTATTTGAAGAATAGAGATTAGATTATCTTGTTAGAAAGAAGAAATTGTAGAAATGATCTCTGGTTTTGAAAGTGTAAGAAGGGATGAGCTAGAATAGTGATGGAGAACCTTTTAGAGCTCTCGGTGATAACAGCAAGCTGTGGTACGTGTGCCATAGGTTTGCCACCACTGAGCTAAGATAACTAGGAAAATACGGGTTTTTTAAATAGCAAAAAATTTCTTCTGCTTTAAGTGAACATGGGGGAGTGGTGACCTGGTTTATTGCTTAGCTGACCGTTCTCGTGTCTAAGTCTGGATTTGTGACTGTCAGGTCCCATCTGGAAGGTCTTTGCTCCTTGCCTTTTCAGTAGTAGTTGATCATTCTAAAAAATTGCATGTTCAATTGTGTTTTGGTTTTGTGTTTTATACATTTAAAAAAAATTTCTGTGATTTAACTTTTTCTTTTCTTGTCTTTAGAGTTAGCCTAGGTAACAAATGCTGAGTTACTTTTACCTAATGGGTGAGATTAAAAAAAAAAAAGAATCTGAATTGATTGAACAGAGATCAAAGGGAAGATTAGTCTCCATTGGTTGCTGATTGGGGAAAAGCCTTCTTATTAATGACTTGCCATTTTAGTTTTCTTGAACCTTTTTGGATTAGAGAGCCTATCTTTCTTATTTTCTGTTTTCAAAGAGAATAAATATAAGAAACAGTTTTTTGGAGGGCCAGCAAGATAGCTCAGCAGACTAAGCACCTGCTTAGGCAAGCACAAGGGACCTGGGGTTCGATCGCCAGCATCCCAGGTCGCTGAGCTGGCCGTGGAGGCCCAGCGTGGTGGCGTGTGCCTGTAATCCCAACACTGGGGAGGCTGAAAATAGGAGGATCACTAGGAGTGCAAGCTGCATAGTGAAACCCTGTACCAAATACATTACAAAAAAAAAGTTTGGAAGTACTAATTATTCATTACTATGTTAAAGATTTGCAGTATTTTCTTTGTCTTGTAGTTAACAGTATCTTTCCATTAGCTTCTAAACTCCAAATATACTTTAAAAACTCTTGGTTGAAAAGTAAGAGTAACGCAGGCTATAGTGTGTGTGTCTAGTCCCAGCTCCTCTGGAGGCTGAGAGTGATGAGTTGGCATTTAACAGTCTTCTCAGAAAAGCAGGTTATTACTTTCTTTTTACTGTCAACCCAGAAAATGTTTCTGAAAAGTTTAAGTCCTTAGGTATAAAGGAATTGCTGCATTGGAGCCATATCTAAGTAAAATAAATACATGGGAACATTTAATCTTCCTTAAGCTCATTTTCTTAAAAAAAAAAAAAAAAAAAAAAAAAGTGAGACTGGCAGTAAAATATGATTTCTTACTCAGATAAACTTACAGAGGCAACTGTTGAGCTTTAAGTTTTCGTTCTCCTGTCCCTTTCTGTTCTCTTCCCCTCAGAGAAGTGTTGCGTTCTCTCTGAGAGACAGTAAATACAGAAAAGAAGGACCGGGGATATAGGTTAGCAAGCACAAGGTCCTAAGTTCACTCCCCCACACTGAAAAGGAAGGAGGGAGGGAAGGAAGGAAAAAAAGAAGGAAGGGAGGGAGGGAGGAAGAAAAAAGAAGCACATAGTATATATACCTAATTTATTTGTTCTTGGAATCCTTTTTAATATGAAATACTTGGAAAGAAATTCTGTTTTGTTGTTGTTGTTTAATTATTTTTATTTATGTGGTACAGGGTCTTGCTACGCAGCTCAGACTCATAATGATCCTCCTGTCTCAGCCTCTCCAGCACAGGTATTCAGGCATGTTCTACCATGCCCAGTTTCAGTGGCCTGCTCAGAGTGCGGTGGGCACGGCATGCAGTACCAGGGACTGAACCCAGGGTCCTTGTGCCTGCCAGGCAGGCACTTAGACTGCCTAACTATCTCCCTGGCCTAAGTTCTGTTTTTGATTGAATTTTTTTGCTGTAACAGCAATATAAATATATAAGCAGTATAAATATTAAACACTGTATAAATAGTGCTGTGGAGTGTTTTCTTTTAAAAATAGGGTGTAAGTGATATTATGCAACTGAAGAGATTTTTACTATTGAAGAATTTGCAGCGTATGGTAAATTCAACTTTGTACATTTTCCTTTGGATTCTTTTTTTTGCGGGGGAGGGGTTGCTGGAAATTGAACTCAGGACCTTGCAGTTGCCACTGGGCTACCTTCCTGACTGTAACTACAACTTCAGCCCCTGGATTTATCATAAGCATCCATTATTGTTTTCTCTTTCTTACTATTTAAAAATTTTATGTTTGTTGTATCCACTAAAATTAATTCATGGTAATTTTTTCTTGTATGTTTCTGTGGCTTTAGAATAGGGGCTCATCTCCATATGGGCTTCACGTGTTGGGAACCTGGGTTGAGAGTGTTGCCTTCCAAGGGCTGTTTTGTATTTGATTACCCAGGGATACCGCTTTTATTATTAATTTCTCAGTTTCAGGTTTCTGGGTCCATGCAAATATCTTGAGCTCAAGCCATAAATCTACCTCAGCCAAGAGATAGATTGAGGCAGACTTTATTAACTCCTGGTGGTAGTTGATGGATTTTTTACTTGTTTTTGCAGAAGTGCTGAGCACTGAACTTGGCTTGCACATGCTAGGCAAGCACTCTTCCACTGAGTTACATCCCTAGCCCAGTGCGTGGGTATTTAAAAATTCATTCTCTAACTCAGGATATGTATAGTCATTTGGTGCCTTTGACTTTATAGAGGTGTCTTATTTCCAACTCCCTATCTGATGTTCTTCCAAAGCTTTGTTTCTTATTCCCATAAAGCCTTTAAAAACAAAACCTCTGGATTATTGAGGAGATCAGCATATTTTCCCGTCTGATATTAGGCTATTGTAGACTATATTCAGGCTTTTGGTTTCCTCAATATTTTGAAACCCTGAGAATTTTCTTTAGTACAAATTTGGAAGTTAATCTGCACATCTAAGAGGGATTTTGTTATTGTTTATTTAGATGACCTAGGGTTCCATGTTATCAAAGTTTGAAATGCATGCATTGCATTTATAATAAATAAAAATATGGAAGATATTCTTTTAAATGAGGAACATGCTTTATACTTATAAAGCTAAAGTATATAATGTAATATTAGGGCGAATGTCAGGGCGATGCATTCTTTTTGTAGTTGTTTTGTTCTTATTTGTACTTCAGCCACTTATGTTTTCTGACTTAGGGTACAATATTAGTCTTTTATTTTCCTTTTAGATGTAACCTTATATAATGGAATATGATTGAAGACAAAGGACCTCGTGTTGCTGACTACTTTGTTGTAGCAGGGTTAACTGATGTTTCAAAGCCTCTTGAAGAAGAAATTCACTTTAATGATGCCTGTCATAAAGTAGCTAAACCAAAAGAACCTATCACAGATGTTTCAGTCATCATTAAATCTCTTGGGGAGGAAGTACCACGGGATTATGTGTGCATTGATGTTACCCCAACTGGATTGTCGGCAGATCTCAATAATGGGAGTCTTGTGGGGCCCCAGATTTACCTTTGTTATAGAAGAGGAAGAGATAAGCCTCCACTTACAGACCTAGGGTAAGTATTTATTTTTTAATGAATTATTGCTACCAATCCAAATAATACATCTTCTAGATTTTGAAGATAACTTTATTTTGTTCATTAGTAGAGAAATGGTAGCTTTAAACATAAAATAGATACACTTACATCCAGAATCTCATGTTCTCTTCCCGATTATCTTTTGTCTCTTTTTGTCCTATAGGTACCCAGCACTCTCATCTTTCCCTTAGATGCAGGAGACAGAATTTGAAAAACATTTATAAAAAAGTAGCAGATATTGATGTATTATCCTGATCAGAAGTTTTTAATTTTTATTATGTTCTTTTGAAACCGGATCTTTTTTCTTTGTTGCACATGCTGATCTCAAACTTCTGGGCTCAAGCAGTCCTCCTGCCTCAGCTCTCTATGTAGCTGGGATTATAAGCATATGTCAATGAACCCAGCTTTATGTTTGAAGTAAAAAAAAAAAAAAAAGATTGTTTTTATTTATTTATATTTTATTTTATTTTTTGTCTTTTTTAAAAATTTATTTATTTATTTACTTACTTAGTCTGTGTGTAGCCAGCTCAGCCCACCAGGGGACAGGGCTGGCTGGCATGTGGTGCTGGGGGATTGAACCGCGGTCCTTGTGCTTTGCTTGGCTTAGTTTGTTCTAAGTAGGTGCTTTAGACCACTGAGCCATCTCCCCAGCCCTTTTTTGTCTTTTTTGAGAGTCTGACAATGCAGCTCAGGCTGGCCTTGTGCTCACTTTGTAGCCCAGGATGGTCTTGAACTTGCAACAATTCTTTTGCCCAGACTCCCAAGTGCTGTAATTACAGATGTGTGCTACAGCGTCTGGCCCAAAAAAGCCTTTCTTTTAAACATGGTGTAATGATGATAGACGAATGTTTAACTGTGTACCAAACAGGGATCTTGGGATTCAGTAGTGTTTTACTTATATTATTGTTTTTTGTTTATAACAACTTTATTGATTTACTTGATTAATTACCATATAATTCACCCATTTAAAGTACACAAGACAGTGTGTCTTGGTGTACTCCAAATTAGTAGCAATCACAATAGTTTATAGTAGAACATATTCATCATGCCAGAAAGGAATGGTGCACTAGTAGTTGCTGCCCGTGTTCCCTTACCTCCTTAGTCCTAGACAGTCACAGCTTGTATCAGTCTATAGATCTGCCTACCTTGCACATTTCATGTAAATGGAGTCATACTATATGTGATCTTTTCTGACTGGCTTCTTTCACTGAGGATATTTTTAAGGTTCATCCATGTTATAGTATGTGTCAGAACTTTATTTCTTCATTTGTCTCAAAAGTATTCTACCATATGGCTGTATCATAATTTATCCATTCATCAATTGAATACTTGGGACATCTCTACTTCTTGACAATTATGAATAATGCTCTGAATATTCATGTACAAGTTTTTTGTTTTTTGATCCAGGGTGTTGCTATGCAGTTCAGGCTGGCCTTGTACTCACATTTGTAGCCCCCAGGCTGGTCTCAAACTCACAATGATCCTCCTGTCTCAGCCTCCTGAGTGCTGGGATTACAGAGGTGCACCACCACACTCTGTTCCAATGTACAGGTTTTGATGTAGACTCATTTTTCTTGTGCATATACCAAGTAGTAGAATCACTGGGTAGTAGGGCAGTTCTCTGTCTAACCTTCTAAGGAGTTGCCAGAATGTTTTCCAAATCATCTCTATCATTTTGTATTCCCATTAGCAGTATATAAATCTTCCAGTTTCTCAACATTACCATTTTTACTATAGCTGTCTGAGTGGATGTGGAATAATATCTTTTTGTGGTCTCGTTTTGCATGCATCTGATGCCTAAAGATACCAAACAGTTTTTCATGTGCTTGTTGACAAGAAAAATCCATTCAGATTTGTTACTCTTTCAAAAATTTAGTTGTCTTTATTGTATTGAGTTCTAAGACTTCTTTACATATTCTAAGGCAGTTTCTTATTAGTTATATGATTTGAAAATACATATATTCCTTGGACTTTTACTTTCTTTATGGTTTTCTTTGAAACCATGAAGTTTTAGTTTTGTAGCTGAATAATATACAGATGTTAAGTACAGTCTGAGGTGACACAGGTAGTAATAAGTGTAGGAATTTGAGTTATGTCTCATTTCTCAGTGATAGGTGCTATGGACTGATTTAGAGACAAGAGTTTTGCCAGGTAGTCCAGGCTGGCCTTAAACTCGCTCTCCACCTCCCTCTGCCTCCTGAGTGCTGAGATAGCATATGTGCACTGCCATATCCAAAAAGATTAAAAGGAAGACAAAGTATTTAAGCAAATATTAAGGTTAACACTGTTGTTATGATTGTCAAATTTAACTCTGAATTTTCAATAAAATATTGTAGACAGGAGCAAAAGAGAAATATATAATTAATTAGAAAGATATAATTACTTTTATATTTAAGTTTTTGGGGGAGTGTTTTTGAGACAGTTTCATTCTGTAGTTTAGGCTGGCCTTGAACTCACAGTGATCCTCCTGCCTCAGCTTCCAAGTGGTGGGATTATAGGTGTGTGCCACTATGTCTGGAAATATTATTTTAGAAAGAAACAATTTAATCAATTCTTGACACTATAAACAATTTATATAAAGGATTTTTGTATGAGGGACTATTGATATTGAAGATTTTATCTATTATAACCATTTCATATGAACCGCAGAAATACATTTACTATAATAGTATTTTTAAGAAATGTCAAGGACAGCAATAAAGTCAAATCACTTCCATGAGGAAATAAACTAGTATTATTAAGTGGAAGTTTGTTTCCCAGTGCCTTTTATTAGGTGTAAAAGTGGATTTTAGGCCTGGCCTTTGTTAAAAACCTGTAATTTTGTGACAGTTAAGGAAAAAAAGATGGCTTAGTGGATTAAAGTGCCTGCAAGCAGACGCCCTGGCGGGGTGGGGTGGGGGCAGGGGTGGTGTTTGGTCCCCAAGCCGGTGTGCCGGCCCCGCCCCCGGCCACGGTGAGGCGTGATTGAGACTGGGCGTGGTGGCGCGCTGCAGTCATCCCAGCTCTTGGGAGACTACGAGTAGGATCTAGTAGTGAGACCCTGAGCACCCTGTAGACCTTCCCTAAAAAAAAAAAAAAAAAAAAAAGGTATTTTTCAACGCAGACGCTTATTGTCACTGCTCAGCATAGAACCCAGGGCCTTGGGCGTGTGAAGCTACCCGGGATACGCCTCCAGCCATCTCACAGAACAGACCTTTAAAGATAGATCTGAGGTTATTTTCTCATGAACTAAAACTCCTCTTGAAGCTAAGGGAAGTATTTGAGATGAAAGTATGCAAGAAGGTACCATGCTCTGGACAAGTAACTAATTGTAAAATTTTAACTTAGGCCAAAATCCAGATTTATTTTGTTTTTCTTTTCTTCAGTTCCCTTCCTTTCCTCCTCCTTTTCCACTGCTTTCCCTTCCTATTTTGTGGAACTGGGAATCAAACCAGGAGCTGTCTCCCACTGAGCTATATCCCCACTCTTTTTATTTTTTAATTTGAGACAGTATCTCACTAAGTTGCCCAGGCAGGACGTAAATTTTCAGTTCCTCCTCCGTGTCTCAAAAGGATGTGAAAGTTGCTTTTTCTAAGATATTTTCAAGGACAAAACTAAACACATTAAATGCTAAACAAGGGTCCTTATATTGTTGCCATTTTCTGGTTTATGTCAACAAACATAAAAGTTCGTTTGAAGTTTTTAATTTAAATTTTTAGTGTGGAAAAGTTATTCTTTATTTTTATACAGGTGTGTACAGTTCAAACTTGCAATAAGATATAAAATATTACCACAGGTACACCTTTGGATGGATTCATAATGCCTGAGAATATTGTCTCTCATGTTTAAGGATACCTTGTATATTTGCATATTTACTTTTCATTTGTTTTTTAGGGTTTTATATGACTGGAAAGAAAGGTTGAAACAGGGATGTGAAATTATTCAAAATACTCCTTATGGGCGCCCTGCAAATATTAGTGGCAGTACCTCGTCACAAAGGATTTATATCACTTACCGAAGAGCCTCTGAAAACATGACTCAGAACACCCTGGCTGTCACAGACATATGTATTATTATCCCCAGCAAAGGGGAAAGCCCACCACACACATTCTGCAAAGTTGACAAGAATCTCAATAACAGTATGGTAAGTGATTCTGCACTAAGAAAATTAGCCACTGATTATAAGAGTATAATATTAGATCTTTTCTTGAAAACTGTAATCACAGAATTGAAAAATGTTTCTAAATGTTGGTTATTTTTTTTAAAAAGGTATTTTTTCAAAAGAAGCTGTTAAAAAAATTCCTTAATTAAAAAACAAGCACCTTTTCACCCTACCTACGAAAGTACTGTGTTGTCCCTGAGTGTCCATACTCCCAGTTTGTGACCTATATCCCTTACTATAGACAGCTTTAAGACAAGGCTTTGGCAGTTCTTCCTACTTTTTTTGAACCATCATTTTTTCCCCTCTCAGATTATTGCTCCTGACATGCAAGCATATTGCGGGATCCCCCATCTTCATGCAGCTTTCTGACCTCATGGCCCCTCCTTCCATTACCCCATATTATTATTCTTTACAATAAAACTTTTCAGAAGAGCTCAGTATATTCCATCCCATTCTTCACTTTGACTCTTTCCTATCAAACTTTTATCTCCATTTTTCCACCAAGATTTGTTATTTTGAAGTTAGTTCTCAGTTGTTCAGCAGGTTTTGACATAGAGGAGCATTTTTTCCTTCGGGAAACAGTGGCAGAAAAAGAAGCTGCGTTCTCTTGTGTGCTTGTTTGCTTTTCCTCTGTGTCGTTGCCTTCGCTGGCTCCTCTGCAGCGAGGGCTCCAGGGTTCAGTCTTCTCACCCTTTTATTTTTACCGTCTACACGTATTCCCTTGCGGATCTCATTCTTTACGTAAGGCTACGTGAGGATGATGTCTAAATTTATTTGCCTAACCTGACTGTTGTAATTTATTATCTTTTTAAAAATATCTTTTCAATAGAGTGTCTCAAATTTCATATGTCCAGCACTGAACCCCTTCTGTACCTTTCCAAACCTGCTTATCTTCCTTGGAAGGGAACATGGAAATTCCACTCCAACATTCTGAGGCTAAAAAGCTTTGGGATAATCTTGACTTTTTTTTCTCCTAATTCTCATTTTATTACCTATAAATTCTATTCTTTCTAACTTCAGACTCATTTCAAACAAGACCACTTTTAACTACATTGTTGCCACAACTCTAGTAAAGCCATAGTACTTTTTTAATGAGATTACTGTAATATTCTCCAAATAGGGGGAGCCAAATGTTTTCTTTTAAGAGCTAGATAATAAATTAGACTTTACAGGCCATATATAGTAGTTTCTTTCCTATGTTTATCTTTTATTTTTTCAGATAGCTCTTAAAGTGCGAAAACTAGTCTTAGTTCTCATATACATTGTATACATGCACTGAAGTATCATATGGTATTCCATAAATATGCACAGTCACTGTGTTTCAGCTTAAAAGAACATTTTTAGTTGAGGTACATGAAAACAGGCCTTGTGCCAAATGCAGATGGGCCATAGTTCGTTGGCACTTGATCTGACTGATCGCTGCTTCCAGTTCTGTTCTCCATCAGCTGTTCATAATAGCGGGAAGAGTGATCCTTTTAAAACATAAATCACATCCTAGTATTGCTTTGCTTAAAACACTTAAGACTTTCCAACTCACTCTTAGTAAAAGCTAAAGTCTGTAACTCTCTTCTTTGTCTTTGTTCCTGTATTTCTGTTTTCAACTTAAAGAGCTGTTTTCTTACATCTCTGAAGTAGAAAGTGAAGGTTCCCTCTTTTGCCAGAGAGCAGTGTTGGTTTGTCCTTCCAGACTTCTCAGAGTGCACATAATATAGAGTAAAAAGAGTGAATCTATTCTTTATCTTTCAGATATTAGAAGTTTTGTGGTACAAGTATTTTTTTATTCATCTCTATTAGTTTGTATAATTATCTACTTAATTCTTTTAATGATTGTGTAGTATTCCTGAAAATACAAATGCACATTGATAAATAAGTTATTTCTCATTATTCCATTACTAATAATGTTGTGCCTTTTTCTTTACATTTTTATTAGAATATTGGTGGAAGAATAAATAATTGTAGGTTAAAATGATGGTCCATGGCTATGCCATATATTTTGAAAGATGCTGATAAATTGGTGTCAACTTGTACTCTAAGCAGCCATAGTGTGTAAGAATGTATTTAAGAATTTCCTAATTCCCACATCTTAGCAGCATTGGCTGTTACCACTTACTGATGTTTTATGGATTGACTATCTGATGAGTAAGAAATCATTCTAATTTTAACTTGTATATCTTTGACTACAGTGGAGGATGAGTATCTTTTAATGTGCACAGTAGTCCTCCCTTACTCACAGGATGTACATTCTAAGATACCCAGTGAATTTTTGAAACCTTAGTTAGCATTGGACCCTCTATATACTCTACTTCTTCCTCTACATATGCATCTATAGTAAAGTTTCACTTATAGATAAGGCATGATAAAGAGTTAACAATACAACAGTTTATAACTGTATTTTGTAATTAAATTGCAAGCACTAGTACTGTCACATACTTGGGGCCATTATTTTAAGTGAAATAATGGTTATTTGAACACAGGCAATGGTACATCTACTAAATGACTTAATGAGCAGACAGTATATTCAGTGGGAGTATGCTGGACAAAAGGATGATTCGTATCCCAGGATGGATAGAGCAAGACTTTACAAGACTTCGTTATAGTACTCAGAGCACTATGCAGTGTAAGAGTTATGAATTGGGATGGGGGCATAGATGAGTGGTAAAGTGACTGTCTGCTGAATGTGAAGTCCTTAGTTGGATCCCTAATGCTGCCAAAAAAATGTTTATTCTGAGTTTTCCATTTAATATTTTTGGGCCATACTTGACCACAGGTAACTGCAACTACAAAAAGTAAAAATATAGGTAAGGGCAAATTACTGTATATGACAGTTTTAAATGAATATTACTACGGTCATGGATGGGCCATAATTTATTTGTTCCACAGCCCACTGTGGGACATTTAGGCTCTGATTTTTGTATTAAAATTAAACTGTTAGTTGATAACTACATCTACCATAAAATATGTTATATTTATTGAGCTCTTAGTACTATTTACTATTGTGAGCATCCATTAACTTAATTCCCTCAAATACTCTTAGTAGGTATTTTTATTTCTTTTTACAGAAAAATAAATTTGAAGTTAAAGATAAATAACTTGTATCACGTTATTTTCTTATAGCCATACCTTTAGTAAGTAATTAAAGCAAGATTCAGATATGGGATATAGAAACATAGAATCAAACTCCTACACATTGTACGGTGTTGCATCTTTCTTTGTCCTAAATTTATGAGTCAAAGTGTATGTATTTCATTTTACTTTATTATTTTTAAAATCTTATTTTATTGTCTTGCTGAGTTACCCAGACTAACCTTGAGCTTGCTGTCCTCAGCCTCCCCTTAGTACTGGGTTATAGGCATGTGCCACCATACCCAGTGTTCAATTGTGCTCATTTTTAAAATATATATATATATATAAAGACTTAACCAGTTTGTATTCCTACCAGTAAAATCCAAAAGTGTTTTATTTTGTCGATAATTGGTTTTTAATCACACATTTTAAAAACTAATTTTCTTGGGTGGTGCAGAGGATTGAACTTAGGGCCTTCACATTGAGATACATCCCCCCCTCTTTTTACACATTTTTTACTAAGTCACTGAGTTGCCCAGACTGCGCTTGAACTTGCCATCCTCCTGCTTCAGTCTCCCAGAGTGCTGGGATTATAGATGTCACCACATCTGGCCAAATTCAGGTCCTTAATGCTAGAGCAGATAGGTACGTTGTCCTAGTATAATCATTTAAATTAATACTTTGATAAGATCTCCTTTGCACACATCTTACCATTTGTTAAATTTTCATGGGAAGTGGGTTTTAGAACTATTTAGCCTCTCAAACTAGCAATATGAGATAAAATGAAAGTTTAGAAAAAGCTGAAAGAAGAAAACTGGGTGATATTGATATGTGACTAGATTCAGGGCAAGTTTTAGGTCTCTGCGACAATATTTAACTCATTCAGTAAGAGCAGAGTGGATCTGTACTGTGTAGTGGTCACCAGTCATCTTAGCCTTACGATTCAGAGAACTCTGTAGGTACTATGTCTCTGTATAAACATTGTGTCTGACATCTGCTGGCCATGTGACTTTAGGTAAGTAATTTAAACTCTGTCTTTGTTTCATGATTGTAAAATAAGGATAATAATAACAAGTACCGTGTGTTATTGTGATGATTAAATCAATTTAGGACCATGTTCCAGTGAATATATACAAGGATCTTGATTTTGTCATTGTTAGCTTGTTATATGTAAGTGTCAGTGGATTCTTTTGGTGGTTAATGTTAAAGTATATTGAAAACAACTAGTTGGAAGAGAACACTACAATACAACAATTGTCGAATTCGTATTACTCGATTTAAAAAAATTTTGTATCATTTCAATTTTTTACCATTTTGTATTCTTAAAAAATTAAAAAAAAGAAGAAACTGAAAAAAAAAAAAAAGTATATTGAGACATTTCCTGTAAGAAGAATCTTCAGTTGTAAGGCAGTAGCAGTGTTTCTTTAAAACGTTTAAAGAGTTTAAAATGACCTATCCTTTTGTGCCTTCCTTGAATATTATGTTGATCTTAAGTTGATTGAACCAAGGGCTTTGCGGTTGCGTAGGATCGACAAGTATTTTGTTACGAAGTTTCTCTAAGCTTCTCTAGCCTTTTTTTTTTTTTTTTTTTGAGACAGAATCTCAGAGCCTCACTGAGTCTGCTAGGCTGTCCAAATTTTACTCCTCTTGCCTCAGCCTCCTAATAGCAGGACTAAGAACACACCTGGCAAACAGCGGTTTTTGAACTCTTCCCTCCTGTGGGTCCAGATGAACACAACATACTAGATTTGATTGGGCCGGCCAGATAGCTCAGTGGACTAAAGCGCCTGCGTAGGCACAGCGCAGTGGCTGGGGTTCAATCCCTAGCATGCTGTGCTCCCCCCCCCCATGCCAGCGATTGAGACTGGGCATGGTGGCACACCTATAATCCCTGAAAACAGGAGAATCACTGTGAGTCC